GGCAAGTCAAATATGAATACAATGAAGACACGCGCACGCTCCTCCCCATTCTGGTTGAGAGGCCCAAGTGGATGGCATTGATTACTTCCCTAGGGAAGGATGTACCACCCCTCAGCCCTGCCTAAGTTAGCCTATATCCTCTACCTTCTGATCGTCTAAGCCGCCCTTCTGATCGTCTAAGCCGCCTGGCTCCTAGCTCCTCTCACTTGAGTGTTGTCGGATGAGCCTGAATGCTAGAGCTGATGTCCAGGGATGGCGTCTAAGGGTTTGCTAGAATTGTTTCTACCCAACTCTACCCTGTTCTAACAAGGAACTTATATGAACTTGCTTACTTCTTGAGTTTAGTCGGGTATATCTTCTAACCTCCCTTTCTCTCTACTTTTATGCTGCCGGGTGCTGAAGAACCTAACTGAACTGCAGCTTCTACCTTTTGCCTTCTCTTAAACCCTAAACCCTAGGCTTCTCGGGACGTATGTTGTGCGCAGTTTGTTACTTGAGTATTTTTCTTGAAGGCGCTACTTCCTAGTCCTTCATTGTTTTAGCCCCTTTTTTAGGTAACTCGTTCACCGAAATCTTTATCGTGCCTGTGTTTCCGCTGGTCAGTGAGTGTTGTGCCGTTGGTTGTCTCCTGCGGTTATTATGGTTTAATTCGGGCTCAGCGTCATGTCTGTCAGGTGGGTTCTGCTTCTTGGTGTTCCTTTTTTTTTTTTTTTTAACCCCTAACTTCTAAACCCTCCCTGTTCTAATGCCTCTAAATTTTAAACCCTCCCTGTTCCTCACCTCAGAACATCCTCTCTCATATCCTCTTCTGATCTGATTGTTTGCCGACTGTGCCACGTACTCTGTACTTGTATTAAGTTGATCTATGCCCAGCAATGGCTACTGCCCTTAAATCCTCAACCCTCCTTGCTCCCTGTAATGGAACCCCCACTCTAATATACCTCCTCTGACCCGAATATCCGCCGACTGCGTTCGTTGACTGTTTTGGCGATCCCCTTTTCTGCTCCCTTTCTGTTTTTTACCCTAACCCCTTGACTTATATTCCTTTGCACCCTTCTACCCCCCCCCTCCATTTGAACCTTAAATTACTACCATTTATAATTGCCACCGCTCCTTGCCCCATGATGTTGTGTTTGAAGCGTTTTGTTATCTCTTCCTCCTGCACCAGTTGGAAACGTATTTGCTTCCTTATTGCTTTCCACTGAGCCCTCAGATCTGTTTTAATCAATGTGAGAAGTATCTCCCTTGCTTCCTGTTTGTGCATTGGCCGCCCTTCAATAGTAATTTGGCACCGGCGCTTCCAAATGGTCCAGAGACAGTATTGGCGTATCGATTTAAACATGTGCTTCTCAAAAGGCTGCCAATGTTTCGGAATGTTGAGACTCAACAAAAGAGAGATTTCGGATTCAGGAAATGTGGCCCTTGACATCTGTCCCCATATGATCCTTGCTTTTCCCCATATCCTGATTGCTTTCACACATTCTATGAGGCAGTGTTGCATTGTTTCAGGGAATCCCCCTCGACACACTCTGCATGTTGCACTCTCCGGATTTCTCTGCCTCAAGCTTCTTCCCTCATCCAACCAAAGTGCCACATGAGCTATTAGCCATTGCATGCTTCTGATTGGACCCAGACGTATGGCAACAATGCTTGACCATGGTATTTTAACCAATTGATTACGGGGAACCCCTACTCTCCTTTCCCAACGCTTGAGCAAATACAGCGTAAGCGCTTGAGATCGCCTCCTCAATCTATACCCGATTCTAGTGGTATAGTGCAGGATGCTGATTCTTCTTGCTGCACCTATTTCTCCGCTTCTTATATTCCAGGCCCATTCTGCTGGATCCACTTCCAAATCTT